AAAAACAAAAAACACCTTAGGTAGAGATTTATAACGAAACTGCGAAAAAAAAAAATTTTAAATAGTTCTCATCTCCTCTCAAACATGTCAAGTATTTACCAGTTACGTAGAATAAATACAGAAGTGAGATCCACACGTCCTTTTATGTATCCTTGTACCTTTTAACTAACGATATACGCACATTATTTTATATGCGATCCTCTTCGTAATGGTGTAAAGTGCGTCGAAGCGAAACTGCAGAGCTTCAAAAAGTATGTGCGATCAAAAGTACGGAAAATCTTTACAGATCGATGGCTTATTGCCACAGAGAGACTCATATGAACGCCGATACGATTGCAAAAGGAATAATGATATAACGTATAAGTGTACTCCCGCGCTAACGAGTAGTTAGCATTCCTTGCGCATAATATATACCTCACACTTTTCTTTTTCAACTTGTGTAAGAGATTACTTATTCATTTAATTATTTATTTTAATTATAAAAACGTGTGTGTGTGTGTACATATATATATTAAGAAAAAAATGATTAATGAATTTTGCGCCCATAAAATTAGACGAATATTCGTAACTCTTATTTTATTGAAATTTTAGGCGGATTTTCCACTCTTTTTTTTTGCCTGTTTGATTATATACTGAAATTGTCTCGGATTAAAATTTCGTGCCACGTTCAGAATCGTTAATTACTCTTTTTTTCACTCGAGTCTCATTTCATACAGTAGGTACTAATGATTACTTTAATGAACCATTTCTCATTGGCTGGAATTATAAATTCCGTAAGCTCTCGTTAACTATAAAATAAATAAAATTATTTGTAACGGCCTACTTACGCGTTTCTATAGTCCACTGAGTCATCGCACTTTCATGTTTTTAATGCTTTTTTATATTTACAACAATTGAACATTAAGGTCAAAATTTTTATATTTATAATAATTCAAACTGTATTAAATATAATAGGCAGAGATTTTGAGTGGATGAAACTTATTCTTTTTTTAACTTTTGTATTCAAATTCAAAGTAAGTGGTTACGATGTTTTAATATTTGATGAAAAAATTGGATTGTACTCTTATCTTTCACTAGCTAACGACTTATGGGAACTCTAGCCAATTAGAGTTCACCAAAAAAAAAAAAAAAA